CCCATCTTTATATGTCGCCAATAATAATAATATGCGAAGAATCCGTTTGAAAATAAAGAAAATTGCAGATAATTAAAAAAAAAAAACTTTTCAAAGATACTAAGATATCAAACAATCTCAAACAAACGCAAATCTACATCAATTTCATGTCGCACGATTTAATACATCTATGTCTCTCCATATAAAGAAAACAAATAAATAAAAAATAAAATAAAATAAAATAAACATAATCAATTCACATTTCATTTATTCATCATCTAAACTTTTCCCATTCTTATCGTACACATCGCGAATAATAACCAAGAATGCGAGGAATCCGTTTGAAAATGAAGAAAAAAAACGACAAGAAAATTGCAGATAATTAAAAAAATAAATTTTCCAAAGTTACCAAGATATCAAACAATCTCAAACAAACGCAAATCCACGTCGATTTCACATCTAACACGCCTGTCTCTCCACATAAAGAAAAAAATAAAAAAAACATAATCAATTCATTCACTTCATCCATTCATCATCCAAATTTTTCCCATCCTTATCGTACATATCGCGAATAATAACCAAGAATGCGAGGAATCCAATCGGAAACGTAGCAATGGGGAAAAAAGGGGCAGAAAAGAGGGTTAGAAGGCGTTGAAAATAGAAACGACTCGGCGGGTAAATTGCAGTTAATTAGAATCCAGTCCGTTTATTTCGGTTTCGTGGCGGCCTTAAGGGGATCGCATAATTAGCCGCGCTCGTACGGGCTCATCCAATAAAGGCGAAGCCCTCGCGCGACTGGTCGCAAGCCTGCAAAGCGTGGTCGCGAGAAGAAGGTTATCGTGGCGAGTCTACGCTTCGAGGAACGCCTCGTGGAGGAGAGACACACGTCGTTTGTGATCGAGAGAAAGCTGCTTTAAATAACTCCTTCTTTCTCTCTCTCTATCTCTATCTCTCTCTCTCTCTTTCTCTCGCTCTTTTTCGCTCTCTCTTTCTCTTTCAATCTTTTCGATGCGCTGTCTCTGTTTCTCTTGCATGATTTTCTACCACGACCCCGATATACCTTGTCTCGCCTCCCTCTTGGGTCTTACTAATGCGACTTACGTCGGAATGCTGAGACTTACGTTTACTGCATTAGATGATTTATCCTTTGCAATGGTAGATTAGGGTTTGTGAAGATATCGTTGTTAGCGAGTAATAGTGTTTAATATTTTGCTGGAATGTGAGAATGATTTGAATGAAATGATTTAATGAAAATTAAATCACATGAAATGTTTTATTATATTTAATTTGATTTTTCTCGTGTTTTGTATAATTTGTAATTATGGATATATATGTTATTTTTTGAGAGGGTATTCTTTGCATAGTTGCATCGAGAAATCAGAATGAAGATGTTATTGTTACGTTTTTATTTCATATTTTTAATAAGATATGTTGAATCAAAATAACATTGCTTATCTTAAATATCATTTGGTTTGTAATAATGTATTGTTTGAGAAATATTTTAATGTTTATTTTTAACGTTATTTATAACGATTCGAGATGAAGAAAATAAATGTTTTGATTTAATAAACTATTCTTTAAGAAAGTATTCTTTATATTAGTTATTGAATCAGAATTGATCAGAAGATATTACAAGTTTTTATTTAATATTTTAATGGAATAAGTTAACAAGATTAAATATTATTAGATTTGAGGTGGTAAATCTATCGATAACTAAGTCTTCTTAAAAATTCTTAAAAAATTCTTTTTCTTCATAATGTTTGATTAGTATTTAACGTTTTAAAAGTGTAATAAAAAGAATTGAAAATAAATAATTGTTGAACATGTTTGAATTGTTGAAAGTTTTCATTATGAACATCTCTTTACAGAAATTTTTGATGTCAGATCAATATTACATATTGAAGACATATTTTGAGTCTTCTAATCAATTTTAATAATTACATTATACATATTAACATTCTAAATATATCTTTGACATGCTTTTTTATATCTTTTCCAGAATAAATTATGAAAAAGCCAACAATTTAACTAAATGAAGTTTCTCTAATCATTAAATCAGAAGAAAAGAAATCAGAAAAATAATAAATTTCTAATTTCTAGCTCTCTATTATTTTATAAGACATACTTTATAAGAAATAATTTCCAATTTCTAAATTATGACTCATAAAAGGATTACAAAATATTTTTTAAAGCTATTATTTTTAATTGTTAATATATAATAATAATTGTTAATAATTTTAACAATTATTTATTCTTTTATTTTCAGAGATTTCAAATTTCAAATTAGGAGTTTCCAATTTCTAATTCTTTTCCATATAATCAATACAAATATAGACTTTTTAAATTTTTTTTGGTAATTATCTTTAATTTTAGAAAATTAATTAATAATGGATGAAAATGTAATATAATGCACTGACTTTGGCCATTAAGAATGATATCAAGGTCAGTACCTTGCACAGATATTATTCCTAAAGGATTAATATAATTGTATGAATTATTATAGCTCGTATTTTATAAAGAACATCAAAGTGGTTTTCTCATTAATTATATAAAGGACAATTCTTTTGTTATTTATTCCATTATTAATTTCCATATCTTATTTAAAGATGAAAATTGTAATTGTGTTATCTAGAATATTAATTTTTTTTAATTTTATTATTCAAATTCTTTTTATTTATTTCCATATCTTATCCAAAGATGAACATTGTAAATAATTTGAATATAAATTAAAACAAAATTGTAATTCAAGAAATCACTATTTATATTAATAATTGTGTATTACTATGTATATTAATGTATATTAATAATTACTATAATAAAGATTTTTACAAATATATAAAAATTATAAGTAATTTGAATGTAAATTGCAATTCAAATTTAATTTCATTTATTATTCCTTAATTCTTTAAATACTATAACAGCGTATTCATGATTGCATCAATACAAATAAATTTAAAAAATATAAAATATATCTACAATTACAAATCACTTTTTATTTCATAATTAATCCATACAACTTTGTCATATTTCTAAACAATCATGATTACTGAACTGACATGTTTATAAAATAGAACTTGTACAAACATCTTAAATAGAAACTTCTTTTATGTTTTAACTACTTACTATAATATATACTATTTTTAAATTTTTTTTATGAATTCTATAGATTTCTATATATTTAAATTTCTTTAGTCCAAAGATTAAAGATTTAAATATATATTCTCTCCATCATCATATATTAATAACATTCTGTAGATTTTTCATAAATGCATAAACATAAAATTTAATCAATCATAACATAAAATTTAAGCATATATAAAAGAGAAACTGCTCATTTGAACATGTCCCTGTTCAAAAATCGGTTAAAACGAACCATAGAAGTTGGATCAAGAAAGCTAGAACACAATTAACTTATCAACAAGTCCTGACACTCTTCCGCCAATTCTCTACCATTTTCTACCTGTTAGATCCACCTTTCGAAAGACTATTTCGAGAATGGGCACGCAATCAACGAA